TGAGGTGGCAAGGGATGGGGCAGGGTTTAAAGACTTGAGCCACAGCTTCTGCGACCTTGGCTAGAAAGGGAAACATGGAGAGAGGACTCGTAGACGACGTCAGAGGCAGGCTGAGGACTTGGAAAGGTTTGTGCTGAAAGTCATGTCTGCAGACCAGCAATGACAGACGGCTCTGCAGAGAAAGCCTCACGCTCGGTACCCACCCCACAGTGGGCACTGAGCATCCACAGCTCCCTGTAACATGCACGTTGTTCCTGCAGTGAGCTGGTAGACTCAGACACATCCTTGGGTAGACAAGGATGTCACAAACACACCCAGAACAACAAACACGCCCACTAAGGTGCACAGCATTAGGGGAAGCCATGAGAAATGTCCCCCAGGAACACAGAGTAACTCGAAGACATCCACACGGAGACCATCCGATTCAGATCCATATGTTCTCCCAAGGACCCCAGCTAGCACTGTGCTCAGTCAAAGACATGAAGGGTGGTAAGACCAGTCACACACCCCCCTCAGCACACCACAGAGCCACAGAGGCAAGGACACCCATTCACACAAATACACAAACACTAGCAACAGAAACATACACAAAATAGTCCACAAGGGCCAGCAAGATGGCTCAGTGAGTGAAGGTGCTTGCTGCCAAGTCTGAAGATCTGAGTTTGATACCCGGAGTCCACGTGGTGGAATGAGAAAACCAACTCCCCCATGCTGTCCTCTGACTTCCATACACATGTGCCATAGTAAGTGCATGTCCCCAACACACGCATACTAAATAAATGTAATTTTTAAAAATCAGAGCAATGTATGAAGCACACAGAACTCAGAGAAAATGTTCTTTCTCTGCTCCCCACTACCTGCTGGGTCAGGACATTTGTGGCACCTTTAGCCAGCATCCAATAGCTAGGATGGCACTAGCATCGTGTGCCGGGGAGTTTCCTGAACCAAGGGTGATAAAAGCTGTCCCGTCCCTAATTCTGTCACCAATCTCAGCACAAGGAACTCAGGGTACCTGGTGCAGATGACTGAGACCCACTTGATGTTCTAGGAGATGAATAGGCAAGACCTGGCTATACCCGCACTGGCCAGGCCTCACTGTGGGCTCCAAGCCTGTACAGACCCATCAGGCAGGACCTGAAAGGCTTGGGAGATAACAGGGTGGTGGTATCAGTGTCTGGGGAAGATCATCCTAGCTCTGGGAAGGGCACCGATGGGAGAGAAGCTATGCTTGTGTTTGGGGGACGTGCAGGGGGACACTGTCATCTGGCCCTCTAACTTGCAGCTCTGAGTGTCATAGCCTTCTAAAGCAAGTCCTGCCTCCTTCCTTGGTCCTCTCTTCAAATGCAGAAAAGGGATCCTTTAAGCTGGCCCAGCAGGACCCAGGTACATGGTCTCCCAGCAACTCTCTGTCCTGGGAGGGGAAAATTGCAGTGGGAAGAAGCCCCTGGGGACATGGGCCATCATCCACGCTCGCTTCCAGGCGTTAACCCATGGGACCTTCGCTGATGGCAGAGTTGTGCAAGAGGGACACCCCGGTCCCTTCCCTGACCCCTTCCTAGTTGTAGATTCCTCAGCCAGTGCCCAACACGGTACCTGGTAGGTACCTGGTAGGTTGAGGGCATTGAGCAATGCCCTCAACAAATCTGTAATGATGAATAACTGCCAATCAAGCAAACCAGGCAAGGCCAGCAGGGAGCGGGTAGTTCTAAAGACTAGGCCTGGTCCCGCTCCCTCCAATCCTGGCCCTGGCTGTTCTGAACCTTTTTCCTGAGAATGACAGGGGTCAAAAAAAAAAAAAAAAAAAAAAAAAAAAAAAAAACATGAAAGAGCATGGCGGTGCAGGCCTTTAATCCCAGCACAGAGGCAGGTGGATCTCTGGAAATTTGAGGCCAGCCTAATCTACCTGGAGAGCTCCAAGGCAGCCAGAGCTACATATTAATAGAGAGACCATGCCTCAAAATAAATAAATAAATAAATATTAAAAGGCAGGGACAGCAGGGACCCGGGGTCCCTCTTCTCTTCACTCAATAAAAACCTCACCAAAGCCAACACGTCTCTAAGTACAGGGAGAACAGCTTTCCCAGAACTCAGTGAGCTGAGCAGGAGAGGCTACTAGCAGGACCTGCTGGTGGTGGTGAGGGCTTGCGGGAGCTGGGGCAAAAACAGAAGTCAACCATCCCTCAGGACCAAGCTTTCAGTCACGGGGTACTTCCCCCAGGGAGCCCAGGAGTGGAGGAAACAGCTTTTTCCCTCTAGAGCTGAGGAGTTAACCCGGCACTCTTCACCTCTCCAGTACTTAGTCTTGGTTTCTTCCCCCAGCGGGCCCTCCTCCTCCCACTCCAGCCAACCCTGGAGGGGCGAGAGATCCCATTGGGACCTTACCTCAGTTCCTTTCCCTTCCCCTGGGCAGGCGTCCTGGGACAGGGTAGGTGTCCGCATGACCCCTCCTTGACCTCAGGCCCCAAGGGAGCATCTTCCAGAGAGGAAGGCAACCCACGACTCGCACACCCTTCCTTAATCCCCAGACTGGTGCACACACCCACCTCCCAACTCCTGTGAACCCAAGTCCACGGAAACGCCAGCTTCCAGTCTAGGGCTACGCCACCGGCCACGGTGGCTGCCAGCCTGCAACCGCCACGCCGCACACGGCCCTCCCCTAGGGGTTTGCAGCGACACCAGCGGCTCAGAGCCCTGCGGAGGCTGAGTGCCCGAGGAGGGGGTGCGTTGCGAGAGCCGCACGGCGCCCTGGGCCGGGGCGCACCCGGGGAAGGTCATGACTTTCCGCGATTGGGGGAGGGGGCGCCTGCCGCATTTGGGGGCGGGGGGCCGACCCACGTGGAAGGCACCTGCTGCGGTGGGAAAAGGGAGGGGGCGTTTCTCCGAGATCGGGAACCCGCTGCAGCCGCACGCCCCGCATCCCTAGACCAGTTCTCCAAATCGTGGATCGGGACTCGATCTCCAGGTCCCCGCCCCCTCTCCCACCGAACCCCACGCGGCTACTGAGTCCCCACCGCCGCTCACCCTTACCTGCGGCTACAGGTGCACGCGCGGAGCCTGGTCCCGCGTCGGGCGGGGGAGGGAGAAACGCCCGCTACTCCCGCCCGCGCAGGTTGTCCCCTCCCCCGGCCGCCTCCGCAGCCGCCGCCGGTGCCCTTTGCTGCAGTGGGAGAGCTGCAGCCACCGAGCGGGCACGGGCCCCGGTCGCCCCGGTAACCGCGACTCCACCTGGCGCCGCGCGTTGCGCTGCCATGCGCATCCCCTCTCGGCCCCCTCCCGCGGCGCGGCCCCGCCGGCGCAGCCACGCCGAAGAGAAGAGGCTGGTGGCTACGTCGCCGCGGTCACCCGATACGCCGGCCCGCCGCCCGGGACTCGGGTTGCAGCAGGAGGGAGGGAGATTAGACAGCCTAGTGGAAGAGCGGGAGGGAGGAGGGGAGAGGCTGTGGCTTGGTCTAACCTTTGGTCCCTTCCCAGGATCCTCTTCACTGTACCCATCCCCAAAGGTCTTAGTTACCCCCACCTTCCGGGCCCTTAGCCTCCCCTCAGCCGCCGCCCTTTTGCCCCTTTAATCCTTCCATGACTTAATCCCCAACTGAATCGGGGAGGCCTAAGATGCCGACGCTTTCTTTTTGGCCTCTGATCCTGCCTTGCTGTGTGTGATTCTGGTCCTTTGCTGGGTGTCTCTGTGCTTTACAAAAAAAATGAAGCTCAGACTTCTCCCTAGTGGGGAGGAATGTGATGAGGTCTATCCAAAGATGACAAGACGCTGTGCGTTTTGTGGAGCTCTGGGACGAAGGTCCCCTACAAACTCTCCTTCCTTCCCTCAGAGCAGAATTCCAACCAGGCAGACAGACCTGAACTTCACCACGGGGCACAACTCAGCCCACTCTAATCCAGCCTCGTTCCTGCTGTCCACCTTATCCCTATCCCACACTCGACCTAAGGGACTTGAGGCACCAAGGACCTGCCTGTCCATCCTGTGCCTGACTGCAGTCCATCACCATGATTGTCCCAACCCTCTGTCTGTGGTCTCCGCCACACACTGCCACTCGGCACACCTCTCTCCCGCCTGTCATCATCCAGCCTTGATAACAGGCACGCCCCCTGCTCCCTTGTTCCCCAAATCCAGACAAAATGAGGCTGAGAGCTGGGAAGGAAGTGGCTCCATACCCTGAGAATGATGCCCAGTGTGCCGAGCTGTTACTAGACACGTTCCTTCAGTCCGGGTGCCCCAGCTCTAGATGCTCATGGCATCCTCGTCTGTCACAATACACTTTCATTTCATCTTCCTTGGGAAAGCCAAGCTTTGGCCCACTCTGGTGCATGAAGAACCCAGACCTCTTCCATCCAACGACCTGGCAGCTCCTGCCCTCCTCCTACCTACACCATAACCAGCAAGTCCAAAATCCCTGGCTCCAGGTACGGCTTGGACTCCTGATCCCTGCCCCCACGTCTGTTATTTCTCCCCTGGCAATGCCCAGGCCTGAGCTGGGAGCATATGCTAAAAATCTATTCTCCTATCAGGGAAAATGAGGCTCGGTGAGGAATGGGGAAACAGGCTCAGAAGCAATGGCTAGACCCCTAGTTCTTTTTAAAAATTATATGAAGGGTGAGAGAAAGACACCACGCAGAACTTCCTGGTGGTCAGAAGGGGGGGCAGGCTCTACTCGGAACAGAAGTCGGGCACAGAAAGGGCAATAAGATGAGACTAATAAGAGGTTCCTAAAAGCCCAAGAACAAGAGTAGGTCCTCTTGTTTAAAGGAGAGAAACAACTGTTTGTTTTTAAAGCATAACTATCCCTCAAAAGGGATAGGTTTGAGGAGGCGATGGTAAGAAATCAGTCAGGGGAGATGTGGATACGGGGCATGGAAGTTTCCTGATAATGGAGGGTTCATACATAGAAGGGGTAAGAAATAAAAATTATCAATGTCCCCCCCTACAAAAAGGGGTCTCCCCAAAGCCAAGCTACGCCATGGATTTTGGAGGGAGATGGCTGGCTCACCTGGGCAGGCTGGCCAGCCCCGGAGGGGGTGGAATCGCCGTGGAGGTGGGAACAGAGGGAGCTGAGGAGGCACACAGGGTCCACGGTCCAGCCGCCGACCTGTGTGTGTGAAGCAAGGGGACACCCCATTAGGGGGAGCGGGCAGGAGCCGCTGGGGTGGGACAGTATGGGATGGATGCTCCCAGGGCAAGCCCTGGTACAGGGAAGAGGGCCAGAGTCATGGAGGTGGGCTCTTCACAGCAGCTGGTACTCTATCAAGGGCCCCAAGTTTATCTGCATGTCTGTCTTTCCTCTGACAGAACAGGCTTTCGCCACTTGATAGAATCCTGATTTCCTATTCCCAAAGCCTCCCTGCACAATCCTTGAACATCTGCCTTCTCTCCTTCCCCAGGAGGTCACCTTGGACCTCACAATGATGGGATCAGTGGACAGGAGTGACCTCACTCCTGTTGTCTGTGCCATCTCTGTAAAAGTGACTTCCTTCTACCCCAGGCCACCAGACTTGACTCCTCTGAGACTGTTCCTCCTGCCTCTGGTCCTCTGGCCCCTGACACTTCTCTCCAAATGTTCGCTCAGCTCCACACCATTGCTGTACCATGCTATGGTACTTTGTTCAATGGAAAGGGCCCTGGGTCCTGCCACTGAGCCTCTAAGGGGGCAGATGAGGGCAGGACAGATGAAAGGCATGAACCTGAACATGACTGAGCTTCCACTCACTCCAGAAGTATTTGCTAATTACTTGCTGAGTGTTCACCAGCCTCCACCTACCAATGCACATGAATGTTCCATGCCAGACTCGGTACCTCTTGAAGCTTTTCCTGCTAAACCTCCCAGAAAGGTGTGCCCAGTTCCCCACCATGCCTGGGCTCCAAACCATTGAAACTGGACGCTATTTCTTCTTACCTCTGCCCAGACCCACCAAGACTTCTGAAGCACTGGCACCGCTTGTCCCACAGCCCCATTTCTGACCATCATATACTGCTTTAATGCCCCTTCATGCCCCACTCCCATTTCTGTCTCCGTCTTGACTGCTCTCAGGTCTCCTGAAGCCGGTGCTTTGGAGTACAGAAATGTATGTAAGGGATCCAGCTGGCATCCTAGGAAGCTCCCTCCCAACTTCCCACCCCGCCCCTATGATTCTCACTCATTTCTGTTTCTTTTCCAGAGACTGACATCTATTTCCCTGTCAGTCAAGAGTTCAATTTCAATGTTGGTAGCTGAGGATGGCCTTGAACTTGATTCTCTTGCCTCCCCATCTAGAATGATGGGATTGCAGGCATGCAGCAACCAAGACAGACAGTTTGTGCAGTGCTGGGAATCAAACCCACAGCCTCCTGCTACCAGGCTGGCCCTTAGCTGTGTTCTTTTCTGTCATTCCCTTATGGCTCCAGACAACCAACAACCCTTGCCTAGCCCCCCCTGCCCCTCTGTCCAAACTTCCCTTTCCTTCACTTCCTCCTTCCCCTGCTCAAGCCTCCCGACCCCCAGAGTCAATAACTGTACATAACACATATAACTCTCCTGTCCTCTGCTGGCCCACCCCACTCTGGCACCGCATGTCCCCCTGAACCCACCCCCAGTCTTCTGTACCACCCAGAAAGACTTGCCATGTTCCAAATCGACTCAGGTTCATGTGCTTCCCCAGCACCCTGCAGTTACAGCATTCTCTACCTCTCTTCAAACCCTTAGCTCTGCTAGGCTTCACACAGGTGCCGCTTCCTCCAGGTTGCCTTCCCGGAATAAGGCCTTGTAACTGACATCCCTCATCCTAAGCCCCCTCCCAACTGACCAGGACCCTCACACAAAGTTTTATCTTCTCTTTCCCCCAGCGAAGGGGATCAGGGCCCTACATGAGTCTAAAGCCCCTCCTGATCCTCACCAACCTGAATCCTGCTCCCAGGGGGACTCTGGAGTCTAGAAAATGCAAAAGCCAGACTGAACTAGACAGGATGTCTGGGGGACAAGCAAGGTCCCCAAAACATGACAGTGTGCCCTTGATCGCTGCGATAAGGGGGCATGTCCCTCCTCTGATCCCTAGTCACACTGAGTAGCACCTGAAAAAGGAACTGTGGCCCAACACTCCTCAGTGTGACTGAAGGACACTGGTGAGTGGACCCCTGTGCACCTTCTCCCAGAGGGGACAATGCCAGGATTCCCAGAGATGGGACACAGCAGCCATAATGGCCCCCTTGCCAATGCAGGCCTAGACATAGAACGCTAGTCCTGAGAGAAGGAATTCAGAGCGAAGCTAGTGCTTGGGTGGAGAGGGACATGAAGGAGTCCAGGCTGGGGAAGGCTGAGAGGAGAAGCCACCCATGCAGGTCCTGGGCCAGAGGCAGAGGCCCAGCCTCTCCCTAAGCCTTTGGGGGGGGGTAGGAGAGAGCCAAGGCACACACAGGCTTCCGGCTCAGTCACACGGCCAGTCTGTGTTCTCAAAGGAAGTAGTGTCCCCAGCTCTGAGTTCTGTTAAGGCTAGGACTGGGGAGGGGTTAGATCCAGCCTTCTGAAGCCCCCAAGCCTGAGAGAGGTGTCATGGCCAAGCGTTTCAACTGTCCCATGGGTCCAGGCCCAGTGCCCTCAGCACCAAAAGCAATCCCTTCTCTTCTTCAGAATCATCCCTTTGGCCTCCAAGACACACACCTTCTTCCCACATTCTGCCCAAACCCATGCTCCAATGTGTCAAGCAGATGGCAGGGACCTGGAGACTAAGCCCCACTCCTTTCTCCCCCAGGCTCCAGGAAAGACCAAAGAGGGCCACGGCCCAGGGAACAGTACTCCCCAACTCCAGGCTGACAGCTCTGCCCAGCCATAAAATACTGGGTGATCACCTAGAGATCCCAGCCCCTGCTCATACTCACCTGCTCCCGCATCCTGTCCTGCTGACCTCGCAGGGCCAGGGCATGCTGGGGGTACTTGCTCTTCAGATGGTCCATGAACGCATCTCGCTTGCGGTCAGCATCCGCCTTCTGGAGCCCGCTGAGCGCCTCCAGGCTCTGGGCAGCAATCACCGTGTGCCGCCGCTCGGAGGTGTGCACCAGCCCCACATTGGAGAAGCGCCGGCCCCCACTGCCTCCGCTGCCCCCACCCCCCAGGGTCCGGTATTCCCGAGGGTACTCGGCATCGTCGGCAGACAGCATGGGGGGGCTGCTCCGCTCCGGATCTGCGAGAGGGGGAGAGGATCTAAGGTCACCAGAATGCCATGCCAAGGGGCTGCCCATCTCTACAGGGATCCCTGTGGGGCAGGGCAGGGCCTGACGAGGGCAGAGAGGCCTTTGAGAGAGGAAAGGGGGCAGAGAGTATATGAGGTGAACCTAGAATTCCAAGTTAGGGGTGAGGAGCAGGTCCTGGATGCAGGTTGCTCGTTGGTGGGCTTTGGAGCAGGCAGGGGAAGTTGACGTGGGGACAGGGAGAGGGGAGAGGTATTGGAGGTGTCCTGATCACTTCTTTAACTACATACTCGGTCCCCTTCCTAAAGACAGGGAAATGAGCCACACTGTGGTCTAGAACACTCTCTAATGAGAGGCTGGGGCTATGAGTGGCTTCCTCAGACCTGCACATCAGGGCTGTATCCTCCTGCTGGGGCTATCTAGGACAGGGACCAAGGAATTAGGAGGGTGGGGTGAGGGCAAAGGTCAGTCACAGGGCTCCTTCCCAAGGATGGATGGAGGCCCAGAATCTGGGGCAGAGAGACTCCCTTTCCCTCCCTCCCTACCCAGAGACAGACAGATGGACAGACAGTAAAGGCTGAGCACAGAGAAGATAGAGAGATGGACTAGGACAAACTTAAGAGAAAGCAGGCAGACAAAACAGGTCAGCTCCCCGCTCCCCTCTCTGTTCCGAGCTCTCCTCCCAACATTTATGCAAGCTCTAGACCCAGAAGTGACGCACAGGGGACAACGGACAAACAGAAGTGGGCGGGGGAGGCCGGGGGTTGAGGTCTCCACACTCTTAACCCCCTCCCAAGTTCCCTCAGCCTCCTTTTCCTGCCTGGCACTGCTTCCCCCACCCTTACCCCCAAGGAAAGCAGGCCCTGCTAGGTATCCACATCAGTCATGTTCCAGACAAGGAATACAGAGTTGCCTGCCTGCTGTGTCCCCCAGAAGTTACCCCATTGAGAGCCAGCAGTCTCCATACGTCCCACCTAAGCCTTCCAGTCCATGGAGTGGCAACCCCTAAGCATGACCTCAGCAGGACTGGAGCGTCAGGCCCCACCAGCTAGGCTTGCACTCATGTGAGCAACTGTCCCACTACAGAGAACTTCTAGAAGAACAGACTGGGGAAAAAGAAGATAAGGGACCAGGCAGTGGTGGCGCACACCTTTAATCCCAGCACTCAGGAGGCAGAGGCAGGCGTATCTCAGTGTGTTCGAGGCCAACCTGGTCTACAAGAGCTAGTTGCAGGACAGGCACCAAAGCTAGAGAAACCCTTTCTCGAAAAACTAAAAATAAAAAAAAAAAGATAAGGTTAAGGTTGGGGATCTAGCTCTCTAGCTCAGTGCCAACACACATATGCACACACACAGAACCTCCCACCACCACCAACATATGGACACTCCACCCACCAACACACACACAGAGGGGGGAGCCACCCTAACACATATAACACACTCTTCCAGGCTGCGGCCCTGGCATGTGCAACTGGGGTTCTAGCTCCAGACAACCCAGCCTCTCTCACTAAACCACAAGGACAACACCTCCCATAGGCACTTAAGTCATCGGCTTAGAAGGACGCCCACCATTGCCATGGCTCTCGACACTCCTGTCTGGTAGGTATTATTGTCGTCCCCATTTCAGAGAGACCCAATGACAAGTCTAAAGCTACGGGGAGTAGCAGAGGCCTGGTATGACCCCAATGTGACTAGGTTTGCACTGCCACACCTCCCCGGACAGATGATACCGTGTACTGAGCAGAGCGAACACTGAGCACACAACACATCAGGTAGGTTTCTGTCTTGACAGTCTGGTCCCATCCCCCACAAAGCTCAGGATCTGAGTCACCACCTCCGACCTCCCAGGCACCCTTTAGTCATCACAGTTACTCTCCTTTGTGAGGCTCCCCAAGTGAGGTCCAAACACACAGAGATGACTTTGAAGACATTACACCCATATCTATCTATATACGTGTGTGTCTGTATGTATACATTAATTTGGGGGGGGGCAGCCCATATATGGCGGTTCTGTTGAACTTGTCCATAGTGAGTTTCATGGTCTAAGTTGATGAGGAGGACCAATCAGGTCTCTTCCTCAAGAGGGCACCAGATCTCATTACAGATGGTTGTGAGCCACCATGTGGTTGCTGGGAATTGAACTCAGGACCTCTGGAAGAGCAGGCAGTGCTCTTAACCACTGAGCCATCTCTCCAGCCCCACATATGACACATAGCTGATTTACTTAACTATTTTGTGTCTTGATATATAACTCAGGCTGGTCTCGATCTATGATCTTCCTGCCTCAACTGGAGCTGAGTGTTTTATACTTTATTGATTATACTTTTATTTTTATAAGAATTAGAAAAAAATCTGAGGGAGGGGGCCAAATCGCTGGTTTTATAGCTCTTGTTCCTGGTGTGGTAATGAGATAAGCTTCCTCTTAAGTGTATACAGTCAAGTTCAAAGTGAAGCTGTGTTCACAGAAGCAATATTAAATTGATACAAGGCAAACAGCTCCCTGATAACAGAAGAAACTGGGAAAGAAGTCTGCTGACTGAGTAAGGCTAAGCATACAGAGGCCGTCTTCCTGACAGCGTCAGACCCTGTGGCGAGCCAGGGTGACCAGTGTAATCAGGCCAGGCAGGATGGCCTGGGGAATATGGGGAAGCAGGCTGAGCACTCTGTAAGTGTAGACCCCCACCTCCCTCCTTCCTTCACTCACCCTTACTGACACCTAGAAGGCCACACCCTACTGAGGACAGGAGGGGAGACCTCCACAGCTAGGGCACTTCGGAGTCCTCCGTCTGTCCATGTGTGCTTTACCTGGCCTTGTCTCTAGCCCTAACTCTGGACCCAGACCACCTCTTCTCCTGCCCCCTCTGCCCCAGAGGGCTCTGGACACACATGGACTTCACTCTGTCTCCAGAAGCTCTCCCCCCACCCCTGCTCCCCACACCAGCCCTCCTTCCTCACTGCTGGGAAGGCATCAGCATTTCTGCTGTGGGGGAGACAGTGCACTAGCCCAAGGCAGATGATGACCATGGGGAACACTAGGAGCTACCCAATTCTCCCAGGATGGTGATGGCAGGGAGGAGGAAGGGCTGGGATCTGAAAGGCTGTGGGATCTGTTTAAGGACTTCGGAGGCTTTGCTCAGAGAGTGAAGTAACCCAGGACCTGATGTCTGACTGGGTATATAAGGAATGTCTTTTTACAGGGCCTGGTGGAGCAGGGAGGGCCAACCTGGACTGAAGAGGGAGCCAGTTCAGGAATGATCAAAGGAGAATCATTTATATTCATTCATCCTCTTTCTCTATGTCTACTCCCCCTCCCCCGCCCCAACAGAGTTCCATATAAAGGAAGCTGGTCTCAAACTCCCTATGTAGCCAAGGGTAGCCTCGATCCTCTCTTCTTGCTTATGAGTGCTGGAATTACAGGAATGAGCCACCATGCCTGATTTAAGCGGAGCTGGAGATCAAGACCAGGACTTCATGCATGCTAGGCAAGCACTCTACCAACTAAGCTGCATCCCAGCACCTCCATCTTTTAGAGCCAGGGCACCAGAAGTTAGACTGTGGCCAAGCCACCTTCCCTTGGGTTGAATCAGCTTCTCCCCCAATCATTCATACCTTCAGCCAAGCAGGCCCTCCCCTGATGAGTCAGGGGTCTAATTTGTAAACGGGGGTGTTGCCCTCAAAGCCCTGCCCCACAGGGGAGAAAGTGACAATGTTGGAGAAAGCATATCGTTTCCAGTGGGAGACATTCCTGGAGGGGGATTACTGTTCTCCCCATTCTCCCTGAGCCAATTCCAGCCACCAGCACAGCCTCCAAGCTGCCCTGATTCTCTCCGGACTGCACAGTTTAAGGGAAAAAGCCAGGGCGATCGATGAGTCCAGTACGCTGGCATCAGGCTCCAGGCCCAGTGACCAAATCAATGCTACTCAGGGATCTGGCTGCGGTTAGGTGGTTAGGCGGGGAGGAATACGGGGATGGAGGAGACAGCAGCAGAGGCCGGGAGTCCAGCAAGTGGGGGAGGGAGGTTGGGCGTGCTGGGGGAGGGGTGTGGCACTAGAAAAGCCAGAGAGCCAAAGGAGGGGTACAGGATCTCCCTTCTTTCTGAGGCACCTATATGTAAAAGGCCAACTATGATTTTTTTTCCTTCCCCTTTTGGCTTTTTTTTGAGACACAGTCTCCACATTTATCCTGAAATTCACTGTGTAGCCCAGGTTGGCCTCAAATTCAAAGTCTTGCCTCTGCCACCTGCACAAGTACTGGATTACAGGCATGCACAGACACGCCGAGCTCTAAGATTCTTTTTTTAAAAATATTTATTTATTTATTATGTTCTAATGGGAAAGTCGAGGTGACTGGGCAGATGCCAGGGAGTTACAGAATGGAGCATCAGGACTGGAGAAAAGGGCTCTGTCACCTCACTCAGCTCAGCCTGGGCAAAGGGAATGGGAAGGCGGTCCCACAGGGGTGATGGGAAGCAGTGGGCGCCCCCCAGTGGCCGGCTGTGATAAAGAGCAGGTGCTTCATAGAAACATTGTTACTTGTTCAGCAGCTTCCAGACCCCTCCCCCAGCTTATTTATGGGCCTGATTTATTTTTACCCTCCGCTGCATTCTTTCTCATGAGATCACTGTAGCTCATCAGAAGACTGAAGATCCCAGCATCTCAATGACATCCTCTCATAAGTCATCACTCTCGGCCCCACCTGGCTTCTTTACCCTGGATGTCACCATCTACTCTGTCCTCTGCCTGTCGCTGGGCAGCGCTGGAACATGACATCATCTTCAGAAGAGATGGGGAGGGAGAAAACGGAGGGGAGATCAGAGCTGCTGTGACAGAAAGTGACAGGAAAGGACTCTCAGACACAGCCAGCTCCTTTGGCATGGACACCACGAGGCTAGGCAAGATGACTCTCTAGGAAGAGGGGGCTGTCACAGGTGTTCCCGATCCACCGTCTGGACAGAGGCAGGGGCCTGAAGGAAAAGGGGCTGTAGCAGAAGGAG